TGTAAGTGGTTCATTCCTTAAAACTAGGCTACATCCATTGTGTTGCTCTCAATATATTCATTTCAAGACTAAATAACACTCAGCTTAATACATTCACTATATTCTCTCTGATTTGTTTGACACCCATAATAGAGGTCTCTACACCTTTATATAGGCCTCACCTTCTTGAAGCCTCTCAAACCGACATTTAATGTGCCAAACCACTTGTACTAGCTTACTGACAACTTTTCTCCTACTTGCCCTGGCCTTTGTCGACAAAGTGAGATCTTAGCAGTCGGATGACGTGCCTTTTAAAGCCTAGGTGACAGGAGAGTCTCGCTCGGACCTTGGTTACTCTGCTTTGCCTTGCCGAGCATTACCCCACTTGCCTTTATGTCCCATCTTAGGCCTCTATTGTTGTATGCACGTTGTTGAGTAGTCCAATTCGCACTTGAGGATTCCTGTTCTTGGAGGCTTGTGCCATAAAGCTGTCAATGCGCCCACGTGTTCCTCACAGTCGGGTAGCCCTTCTTTCTCCTTGGCCGGCCCTTTCTGAACTCTTCGGACCTTGGGCTTCATGGCCTTTCCTTGGGCCTAAATGAACCCAACATTAACAACAGTTTGATACACTAAGTGTCATAAAAAGTGGTTGGAATTTTTTAAAGCTAATTCTTTGCCTGCTCAGCAAGAGAATATTAAGTTAGAAATTATGTCCCCTCCCATGTGGCTATGTGGGGGCGTAAAAAAGGAAAGAAAGAGATGCGGTTTCCCTCGCTTTTGGTATAGCAGACCCCAGCAAGAGGCTCGCACGTCGGGCTGATAATTGTGTCAATGTGCTTAGGCTGTGAGAGCTCTCAACTAGATGGATAGTTCAATGTCCTCATCAACGTCTGACACCTAGTTTGTATCTTTTTCTTCAAATATCCAACTACTTGTATCACGACACTTAATGTACCAGACTGTGTTTCCAGTACAATAAACAATCTCTCAATTTGAGGAGTTCATGATTGCTTTTATCATCTCATTTGTACTATAGATATAATGCATGCAAGAAAGATATATACTTGCATGTTCTGATAGCATTCCCACAACCTAAAAAGCTAGCAGATAATTCGAGCGAGCACGAGCCTTTTGAAAAAATCATGTGTAATTAACATGCTAATCAAGAAGAAAAGTGGTAATTGAGATCCAACTGTATTGAAAAGGATTCATCATATCATCGGATAATATTTGTCTTTGGGAAGTTTGATTATTGTTGTTTTGTTTTCTTAGCAAAATAAGCTGGATATATTGGTGATATTCCTTCTGGGCTTCTACATTAACAAGCAGGCCATTGAACTACTCGCCATTTCCTTATGGCTAACCGTGGATTATCGTACATAATTGTGTTGTAACAATGTCAAACTCTCACATTGGAAGCATGAATAATTAAAATATAATATGAAAAGAATGATTCGACCATTAAAGACACCAAGACTTAAAAAAAAAAAAACTATACATCAGTTGAATTGTTTAAGTTGAAGACAATATATGTGCTTGACTTTTTAATCCTCCTTCAATAGATATAGAAAATTGTGTCTGACACAACATGGGAGGAACTTGTATTTTAATGAGATGATTAAAGAAGAGAAAAGGGGCCATCCCGCTGCACAAAGCACTTGTAAATTGTAAAACTGGTTCATCTTTGGAGGAGCATTTTGTCACAAGATGGGAGGGACTTTGATCAGTCCTCCCCTTTATTTGTTCCACTTATTTTTATTGGGTACTTTGAAAATGACAAATAAATCACAACATCTTACTCAATATTCATTGCATTTCTTTCAACAAATACACGATAAAAAACAATTTAAAAAAGATAACATGAAGAAACTGACAAATAATACACTTCGCAATAAATACTGAAGATTTACTTTCTAAAATGGAAAATATCATTGGAGCAGCATATAGTCAGCCAGCCCAACCTACATTAATCGTTGTTGAACTTTGGTCTAACTGGAGTTTTGATCGTTGAACCAAAAACTCATGGGTATTTGTCATTGAAGATGTTTTAAAGTGGAGCAATGGTTCTTTTAACTAGCCTTATTAGAACTTCAATCCAAAAATAAAAAAATAAAAAATAAAATAAAAAGGAGCAAAAATGGGTAAAACTTCTAACAGAGTTAGCCAAAAGAACTATTACTCCACATTATAACAAGTTAAAGAATCAACACTCACGAATTTTATTTCTACTAAACCATTCCTCTATGTTAATTCATTCACCTCATTGCGTTACTATTGATCCTAAAAACTACCAAGCTTACATGGCGCGCAGGCCGAGTAACTAATGAGATAACTACGTCTTTCGGTTGAATGCAGATTGTGCCAACTCAATGACCAAGCTCGGTCGATGAGTAAATAAATGTGGTGGTAGTGGTGTCGAATGCGCAGCTCACTTTTGTGTCTTGTGATTGCAATCGAGGAAGGAACTCTTGACCTTCTGGGTTCTAGAGTATGATGACAAGGTTGCTAGTTTCTTCGAAGTTCACAAATCGTCGGTGCTAGGTTTGGTTTCTATAATTATATTCGTGCAAATAAAAGTACGCCGAACCGGTACCAGGCTGTACGGACATAAATACTCAAAAGAGATATGCGTCTTGATTGTAAATGTGGTTTGGCAGTCCGAATCTCGAACTCTAAAATGCACTTGTAAGTATCCAATCATAAAATAAACTCAGATCAATGTGCCGAGCTTGGTAACACCTCATTTCACCGAGAAAGCTAATGAAGCGACCTCTTTCAATAAGGACTCAAAGACTCCTTACTGGCTGAGACTTGGATAATAACTAGCCAAACTCGAAGCAATGCTGTTAAGACTAACTGAAGGTTGCTCCTCAGTCACCTAATTCTACGGCTCTAGTACTGTTAAGACTAACTGAAGGTGTTGCTGGTTGTCAACCACAATGCTGTTAAGACTAAGTGAAGGTGTGCTCGACAATGTTAGAATGGTTTGTGTTTTCTCTAGAGAGATTTTGGGTAGAGTGAGGGTTTTTGCAGGGCAGATTTGTTTGTGTGCTTAGAGAGAGCCTTGAATGTTGTACATCCTCTCTTATTTATAGTAATAACCAAGGTAGAAACCTACCAGGACTAAAACTCAACGATAATACTTTTCACACCAGGATCAGGCTTCGAACACTTCTTCTAACTCTGGGATTTTGATTACATACAAACTCCTGACCCTTGATACGTTCAAAATGCATCCTTTTCTGCCAAGGAATTCCAACAAATTTTATCTTTTATCCATGAGAACTGGAATCCTTGATCATATTGGACTCAACCAAACTACCTCGAACTGGGCCGAGACTTCATATTGAATCTAGATCCTTCTATGAGCCAAGGCTTCCACCATGGACCAATAATCTATCATGGGTATATCAAAGAACTAACTCGGCCCAAACCCATTAATTTGATCCTAAACAGCTGCATACTAATAAACGAGACTCACGATAGACTTTTAATATCAGCGTAAATAACAGGATATTTTCTCGATTTTTTGTTGTTGGCTACTGAGTCGTTACACTGCTTTTAGTTGGTTGCCGTTGAAGACTGAATAATGATACTAGGATTACCTCATTTCATGTGGAGTTAAACAATTCTTTATAGGGTAAAAAATTTAGGTAGGATTTGCCTTTAGTAAATTGTGTAGTGATATTAAAACCACCCATTACACTGTTCTGGGTCAGTTCGTTTGTTTGGGTTTTTGTTTTATGCATCGGTTGGCCAAAACCCACAATCAAATTACATGAAGAAGCGTTTGTTGGTTTGTTTCAGTTTTTATTTTTCATTTCTCTTCTAATGTTTTAAAAATGTTAAATAAATTTTTTTTTTAAGATTAAGTACCTAAAATCTCCCAATGTTTTTGTATCATTCCAAATTAGTCTCAACTTTTTTCCAAACAAGTACATCACCTATTAAAAAATGTTATATCCATTAAGTCCCAATTAGATTTCTGTTAAATTAAATAGGCTTACTTTGTCTCCAACATCAATAGAAGGTCATGGAACCATGGCTTCCACCAGGTAATGGTCGCCATCACCTCCAAACCCAATGTACAACCAAAAACTCCACCTTACAACTCAACACGCCAACAACGAGAAGGTGGTCATGGAGGTTGCTGAAATTGTATGAACTGCTATGATGCGGCCCCACTATCTTCACTGTCCACAAAGAAGAACTAGGTGCTTTACCAGTAGAAAATCAGTGATTGAGAAATCACATAAGCAGAAACAAGCTCCTTGAAACCTTATCTGAGTTCTTAACCTCTTCTTTGTTAGGAGATTTCACGATCTTCATTTTGTTTTCCATTTTATTCGTGAATTGGTTTATTTATTTTTATTTTTTCATCTTCATGTCTTTTCTGAAGTTATTAAATTATTATTTTAGTGGTCAAGTAAGCAAATAAGTGGGACCTATTGTTGCCACATGTACATTTAACGGAAAAATATGTGATAATTTCAAAATGTTGGGTACTTATTTGGAATGTTAAAAAAGGTTGAGACTAATTTGAAATGACACTAAGACCATCTCCAAAAGAGATCTCAAATTTTAAATCTAAAATTTAAATTTGAAGGCTTACGTGGCACTTTGGCATTTTTTTAAACTTTTGATCTCCAACTGATATGTCAAATTTTAAACATAAAATAATAATTCATATGTATTTTCTTTGCATTGAAAATGAAAAGAAACAAAAGAATAATGGTTTAAACTAATATAAAAACTAATAAAAAGCATTTAATAATTAATTAAAAAAATTTGAATGTGCCGTCAAATTTGGCAGCAATGAGGAGAGATGTCAATCCATGTCATGCCACATCAGATTTGACTTCTCAGTTGGAAAACATTAATGTTGTCTTTTGTTACCATTATTGATGATTTGAACATTTTGACGTCTCCTTTGGAGATACTCTAAGGTGTCAAAAGTATTTGAAGGGTACACTCAGATATTAAGGTGTCTAAAGCATTTGTTGAATTAGCTGGGAAGTGTGCTAAATATATTAATAATGTCTCAAAATTCTACTACTTAATATTACTTGTAGAAGCTATTTGGTACTATGCTCTAGTGATATGAATTTTTACTTGTATGTGAGAGTGTTAGGTTCGAATATTGGATATGACGAGATTGTGACTAATTTATTCCCCTCCCTCTTAGTGTAAACCGTCATTCTAAAAAAATTATTTGAACAAGAAAACACGGTACACACTTTACATTTCCCTCCTACATTATATTATATATTTGATTCATGACATCATAGATTAGGAGCACACACAATTTGTGAACATCCATGATTCATGCAACACAAACTATTGAACCATCCTCTGCCAAGCGTTGGAGATCATTTGAACATGGAAGGAGGCACCTGTGGAGCAACGGTTGGTGGCCCAGTCCAACTTACAAACAAATGAAAAGAAAAATTATTACAGCTCCAAAAACAATCTCCAAAAATGATGTTTGATAGTTGATAAATTTGAGGTAATATATAATTACTATATGCTTCGCGATGAGATACCTCTCTAACTAGGATTAGAGAAACGAACCTTTGGAGGCGTTGAACCCTCTATGTTTGAGCTCAGCATGTTCTTGGCAAACAGTTCATGCGTAGCACCAGATATGAACACAGCAATCAGAACAAGGCTCCTCCGGCAAACCAAATTTTTGGCGTAATTTATCTCTGTATAGCCACGAGTAGAACCAATGGCACTGAATCGTGAACAACAACCCGTACACTGTGCTTTGGTTTACGCAACCTAAAATCATAAAATGCAACCCACAATCATGAATTAGTAACATTGATATATACACGCAAACTAACTAAATATGAGATATTTACACACAAACTAAATATGAGATATCTCTCATATGACCAAAAGAGAAAATGAATTGGTCTCTCATAGTGTGATATATACACGCATACTAAATATGAGATATCGATCATATACAACGGTTTCAAAGTGAAATTAATTCATGCGTATTTAGGAACTTTTTGGGCTCTTGTGACACTTACAGCTTCGTCCTTCATCCACAGTTTCAGCAATTTGGCCGAAGGTGATGCATGGGAGAAAGCATGTTATGTAACCTACATCACAAGATCGATTAATAACAATTCGGTTTGCTGTGTGTATAAAAAATGAGAAAAACCATCTTCACTATTGGGGGTGAGGGTAAATATCATCTAACAAAAAAAAAACTAGTCAATTATGACCCCAACTCATGTTTTAGTGTGAATGTACCATCTTTATTGATTTTCGTTAAAATTTTAATAAATTTATTATCTACAACATATGTGGTGAGCTTCCTTTTAAGGGTATTTTAGCTACTTAAGATATATACTTGTATGACTCAGGGTAAAAAATCGATTGACTAAAGCTCGTGAGACATATTTTCTTCTTCATCGAAGACCAGTTGTCAACAGAATACATCCCCTGTGTTGTCTATGGGTCTTGGAGTGGTGAAATATGCATGAAAAAGCTATAACTTCCACAACATAGGTCTTGCTGTAATTATTAATGAAGATTGATAAAGGTAGTACATCTGCCCTAAAGATTAGAGTATGGATGCTGAACTTGCAAGATTTTTTCTTCAACACTACAAGATCAAAACATTACCAAGAGGCACTAGCTTTGGTGGCACATATTGAAGTTGCTAAACCACCATCAGTGCTTCAGTTCCAATACTTAACAACTATGAAGTTGTAGTGGTATAATTAGAAATGGAAAAATATTTTCCCAGGTGAGCAAACAGTTGAATCTTGCTAAATAATAAACGAAATTAATTTGTGCTATACAAAGAGAGTAAATATCTTACATGCAGTAACATCTTCTCCACCGTGACAAAGGCCTCTGGACCATCTGGACTGCTGAGGTTGGTCGCGATAATCAACATTCATTTCCAAAAGTAATGCAAGAAGCTTAAGATTTCGTTTTATCAAACTTGCTAAAACAATGCAGAATAAATGAAAGGAGAGTCAATGTAGTTTAGTGATGTTGGTTACAAGGTTTTTAACGTTTGTAATAATTTATACTCTGGGATATCGTGCTCCAGTTCAACTTACAACAGACATTTGTCTCTGGTAAGTTCGCCTTTGAATTGATTAATTGTATGTATGCTTTCTTCTCCTGGTAGTGCAGGCCATATATTATTACTTAAGGCTGTTTTCGTCAATTTATTGCTTTAGTCCTCTCCCAGAAAAGATACCAGCACATGTCCGCAGAGAAGAATAATAATGCAAAAGGATCCTGAAGGTAAAAACAAGGGGAATACGCTAAATTGCACTGGCGATTAAATGGAATTTATTGTAAGATTCTTAGAGCTATCGACTAAGTGACAATTAGACTTAGTCAACACGGATTGCTTTGTTTGCTTTCGTTATTGGATCGCATTGCTCATCTTGTGGAATCACAACCTTTGGATTTTACAAGTATTCCTCTATAACTTAAGTGATGGGTTTGTAAATAAGTAAATGAAACGTTATCCAATTCCATCATGAACAAAATATCTAGATTAAGCACCCATAAGTACTTTACAGTTTATTAACACGAAATACAAATTGAACGGGTAATTTGTATATTGATTATAACTCTAGGGGAATGATTTCAACACACACTCCTGTCTCCTTTTGCACCACTTTTAGAAATTATCATTTGCCTGACGAAAGTAACGTTACCTGACGGAATAAAACATTTTGTTGGGCAAACGTGGTCCATGTTTTGACTTTAGGTGATAAAAAATGGCATGTATTATGCCACCTTTTGCCCGATGGAAAACAAGTTTGTCGGTGGGGGTAACTTTGCCCGACAAAAGTTCATCGGCTAAAGTGAAAATATTCGTTGGGCAAAGATAAATTTTATGATTTAGGATTTACGTTTTGGGGTTACAGTTTGTTGGGAAAAGGTGAGGGACATTTTCCCATCTTCGATTCCTTCATGATTTTCGCAGTCTGCATAATTAATTTCAGCAATCCAACTGTCAATGTAATTGGTATGTACTCTGAGATGGCACAAGCCAAAAATACCCAAATGCAAATTTCTAGATTAAGTAATGAGACGAAATCCTTAGACAGTTAGAAACATATCATCACAATTAATGATTATTTTAGCTTTGATTTTGATGATTTTTTACAACTACACTTCTCAACCCTATAAGAATACATCCAATCATCAATTTAAAATATTTATGCTAGTGGTTACCACAAAATCTTACATTCTACTTAATAGAAGTATAAAATAAACTGTAAGTTTTATTGTTTCGACGAGGGTACACAGTTTACGAAATTAATTTCCACGATCCAATAGTCAAACTTGTTTGAATATATTACGAGATCGCATACGCCAAAAATCACCAAAAACAAACTTTTAGGGATTAGGTAACGGAATGAAAGGTTCGACAGTTCCAAACGTATGATTTAAAACTACTTCAAATTTAATTTCTTTTATATTAGAAATTTTATACTACAAATTTTTTTGATTTAAATGTGAAGTGGTGTTAATATTTGTGAATTTGTACGGAGGAAGAGGGTGGGTGGGTTAAGGTTTAGGCAGGGGGAGAGGCAGTGACGTAGCTAGAATTTTCAAATAATGAGATCATAATATCAACTAAAAAAGTTTTATTGGGCCATTTTTTCAAGCACCTAGTAGACATATTTAAATTCTTGTCAACATATGACGATGCCGACAAATGTTGACATTAATTTGTAGAGGCTTGTCGAAGGTGGATTCAAGATATGTGAAGTAATGTTAAAGACTGCCAAGACTTTTTGACTAAAGTATTTCATATAAGAAAAGAGAAAATGTTAGATCCCACATCACCTAGAGGAGTGATCCTTATATGTATATTTTCATCCCTACCTAGCATGAGGCCTTTTGGGAGCTCACTGGCTTCGAGTTCCATCAGAACTCCGAAGTTAAGCGAGTAGTGCACGAGAGCAATCCTAGGATGGGTGATCCACTGGAAGTTCTCGTGTAAGTTCCCAGAAATAAAACTGTGAGGGCGTGGTCAGAGCTCAAAGCGGACAATAATGAACTACGATGGAGTCAAGCATGGGTTATGGTAGGGGCCTAGGCCGGGATGTGACAGAAAAGAAAGACAAATGTGATAGAAGAAAATGAAAATAAGAGAATGAGATTGTAATTTAGTTTGCCTTAACTATTTATTGGGGATCAAATACAAATATACATGGGATTTTTGAAGTTATTGGGGTCAAGGACAATCAATGACCCCATACTGGCTTCATCACTAGGGAGAGGGCTCAGGCTTTGGGAAGGGGAAGGGGCTGGGTTTAGGGGAAGGGTAGACTAGACAATTTCTTATACGACCCGTTAACATGACACGTAAACGGCATGAAAATAACGGGTTTCGAGTCAACACGATAACTAATCGAGTCGTTATTGGGTAAAAACCTGTTAATAATGCATCCTTAATAGGTTTACACGAGAGTAAACGCGAGTAACCTATTTCGACACGATAAGAAAAATGTTATTGTGATGATTTTAATTTTTTAAACTACTAAAAAACACTTACTATAAAATACAATAGATATAGTGGATATGTATATATTGTTTATTAATTATTATTGTATTATTATTTTATATAAGTTTTAAAAATTTAAGCTTTATTTATTTATTTTTATAGTATACTATAGGCAAAGAGTGAGATTAAAAAAAAATTATAAAACACATTAAAAATAAAAATATCAAGGAATTTAAAAATACTAAAAACATTAAAAAATTATAATAATTAATTTATAAGTGCAAAAAATATGAAAAAAATATGTAAATGCTCGTAATCGCATCCTCTACGCTTTGGGATGTGTACATCATCGTTTGAATTTTTAAAACCATACAAACCCTCATGAATAGTATTTTTAAGGAGTTCATAATAAATGAAATTCATAATCATTAATGTATAAGTCTGAAAATTGTGAAAACATATATAAACACTCGTGATTGCATCCTCTATGCTTAGACGATGGTTACATGATCATTTAGATTTTTAAAACCCTCCAAATCTCATGAATAGTGTTTTTATTTGAGTGCAAAATTAATAAAAATTATTGTAGAAGTGTGAAAAATGTAAATATATATAGACAATCACTCATAATGATAAACTTTACAACTTTCGTGAAGGGGTCAACTCTGAAATCTGACACCATGGTCCATAAACCTTAGATTAAATTTAACCGTCCATTGTCATCTACACTTTATTCTACTCACCAAATTTTATTTTTTAGATTTTCTTTTTTGAAAAGTGATCTTTTAGTGGATGTAGAAAAATGAACATTCGGATCGTTGATATGACGTTCCAATATTTACGATTATTAAAATATAAGTCGATGCTATATAGTTTCTAGAAACTTTATAAACTTCGAACTATATTTTCACTAATGGTATAACTCTGAACATCATATCAACGATCCGATCCGTTCATCTTCCTGCATCCTCTAAGAGATCATGTTTTCAAAAAAGAAAATCCAAAAAAAAAAAAAATTTGGTGAGAAGAATGGAGCGTAAATATAAACAATAATCAACGGTTAAATTTAAATTTATAGTTTATGGATTATGGAAAATCTTAGTGAAAACTTCGTCAATATAACCCTTGAAGACAATATATTAGCCAAATTTCCAATACCATTTCCCTTGGTGATTGATGAAATTTGAAGGATTATATTGTAAAAAACGTGCAAGGTTCCTCAACCTTGAAACGCAACTCTCTTCATTTTGCATATCTTTGAACATTTGTATTTTGTAGTATGCACTAATGTTTTTTCATTAGGCTATTATTTTGAGGTATGTAAACTTGGAAGACAAATGTTTTTATTATTATTTTTATTTTTATTTTTTTATGTTTTGAAGTAATATTTATGTGATAATATGATATGTATATACTAATTTAGTATTATCTTTTACACTTTTTTGGGTCAAATTGTGTTTTTCATTATTTATTGATTTAAATATATTTTTCTTAACGAGTAACGGATCAGGTCATATTACCTGATAATATTAATAGATCGATTTTGGATCGGGTCCTTGTATCCATTTATTTTAACGGGTGTTATACGACACGACCCGTTAAGCTATCAGGTATGAACGAAAATAATACGAACATGAGAAACACGATACGAATGTCAAGTCTAGGGAAGAGGAAGGGCCAGGCTGTGGGGGTGCGCGCAGGGTGCGGTGGGCTTAAGTGGGTGGGATGGTTGGGGTTCGTGCGTGGGCTGGGCTTGGGTGGGGCTGATCTGCTGTTTTTTGTTGTAGTGCACACTTTTGGTTGTTCCCGTTTCTTAATATTTTTTTTATTTGTTTAATATAAAAACTAAAATTAGCAAGAGTACGCAAGACGAGAAAAGCAGTGTGTAGAAAACAGTCCCCAGAATTATCTTCCATCAAACGGTTGAAACTTAAGCCCTACCACCTCGCTCAAATGATCAGTTTTGTATGTATTCATCTCCAAATGCATTCGTTCTATTGAGCTTTTGACTTCTTTGTCAGGATAGAGATTTTCATTCAATTCACCACAACCTCTACAGGATCTAATTTTTTCCGTAGTGCGTACACTGTTAAACTGCATAACGGGGTTCCTGCATAATCCATGTTTCAATCGTGATCAGAATGTTTAATATATTATTTTACCAACTTCTGTATGACGTCAGTACATCTAATTTCACATCAAATTATTTGAAGAACTTTCCAACCACAGACCAATGCAATGGAGGACGGTGCAGATTTTGGCATTATTTTAAATCTGATCTGTGCCCAGCTCTTATTGAATAGGTTGACAAACCATTCATTTCCGTGGTCCTTCTTCTGTTTGATTGGCTCGACGGTAGTGTTTAATTCGTGTCTCCTTTTCTCATCACCATATTCCATACACCGTCCTCCCACTAACACCAATAAGCTTAAGTGGTCTTCACTTTTTTTTGTTAGTCTTAATACATTATGCATCTCATTGTTTCCCACTTAAACGTGAGAGGACCCCCGAGCCTCTTTGTACATGGTAGTCCTCAAATTTCTAACATACTATTAAAGTCTTAAAAGCTATACCCACTTCCTATCATTTTTATCCACCCATTTTTTTGTGGATCGTATATGCAGGACATAGTTTACTTATATATAACATATGTGCCTTCGTCCCGACTCTCGTTTTTCTATAAA